AGTGAGCTGTGAGGGCACCACTACACTTTAGCCTCGGTGACAAACAAGACCCTGACTTAAAAAAAAAAAAAATCTTACGGAGTTAATGTTGCCAGAACCCATATTGCTTAGCGTTTAGGTTATTTTCAGATTTTGCTGCTATAAATTATAATACGGTGAATATGTTTATGCATGTTATTTCTTTCTTCTTTGAATTATTTATTCAGAATAAATTTCCGGGGGTGGAATGAATGGATCGAAGTGTATGAACACTTTAATGGCTCTTGGTACCTATTGTCAAATTGCCGTATTTGTATTTTACACAGTTCTTTAGTAGCATGCTAGTAAATGTTTAACAACAGGCTTGCCCACCCCCCCAAAAAAAGGCGGGGAGCCTGATTGATTGTGTTCGCTAATTTTCACAGTGTAAATACTTCTACCATAGCCAATTTCAAGCCACCAACATGGCATTGCTGAATGCAAAATTGAAAAGAGATGTTCAAATAGCACACTTTTATATAGCATTTCCATCATACAGATAAAGAGAGGTCAATAGCTTTACTGGCTTGGAAAATTTCCGAAAATATTACAATCAGCACGTGCCATCAAGCCTGTTCTAGAACACCACTGTTAATATCTCCTTTGGTATTTTCCAAAGAGTATATCTTATTTTTTTCATTGGAATCACTGAAAATTCACCCTGTGCCCATCTGTGTGACAATGAGCATGCTTTTAGGTTAGCAGATGATGCATGTAACGAATAAAACCTAATGAAAAAAAAAAAAAAGGGACAGAGTAGGACATCTAACTCCTGCCTGCGTCGAATAATTCCGTCTACCACCCTCAAGCATTCATTTTACAGTGCTTTTTCCCATGAGATCATGTATACAGACTATTCCATCATTATTTACTCTAACAAGGCACTGAATGGATGACTGTGTGTAGTTGTCACGGCAAATGTGATGAGAACCGTATCCTCTATTTCTTAACCACTCTCTTCCTTGGTTTTCTTTTCTACGAAATGGGGAAGAGGTCACTGCTGACTTCAGTTTTACCAGAAACTGAGTGCAGAGATAAGAAAGGTTCAACTTAGGCTCTAAGAAGCACTTGAACATTCCGTAATGCTCTGGAAATTTCTTCCAAAAGCAATTCATTAGTATTCTGTTTTGCCAGGAAAGTATGTGATGTGGCCCTTTCTCCCTTGAAAGGAATTTCCCTTCCTTGGGCTCCCCCGGAGTATACAACACTTTAGTTTTTGTTTTAGTTTTAGTTTTTTTTTTTTTTGAGATGGAGTTTCTCTCTTGTTGCCCAGCTTGGAGTACAGTGTCACGATCTTGGCTCACTGCAACCTCCGCCTCCAGGGTTCAAGCAATTCTCCTGCCTCAGTCTCCTGAGTAGCTGGCATTACAGGCATGTGCCACCACATCCAGCTAATTTTTGTAGTTTTAGTAGAGATGGGGTTTCACCATGTTGGCCAGGCTGGTCTTGAACTCCTGACCTTGTAATCTGTCCACCTCGGCCTCCCAAAGTGCTGGGATTACAGGCCTGAGCCACCGCGCCCGGCCAACACTTTAGTTTTTAAATTAGTGGCACCCTATGTTTGCATGTTAAAATGTAGGCATGACTGAGCTAAACAGCCTCACACCCTTGACCCAGTCACCCCACTCCCAAGAACTCATCCCAAGGAATACATTCAAAACAAAAGAAAACACTTTCTGTGTGAAGACGTTAATCACAACAGAGAGTAGATCAACTTGCCTCATTTCAGCACTTATTCAACTTATGGTTTTAGGGGCCCTGGTAAGAGAGCTCTGGATTCTTGGTTCCTAAATCTCCACCTATAAAACGACCACTTTCCAAGTTGTCTTAGGGCTTGTATTTTTTAATCGCACAGATTCCCAGACCTCATGCCAGGGCTGGGGTACGAGACATGGAATTTCAATTTCTTAAAAGCTCCCCAAGTGGTGTTGATGTCCAGCCAGCTTTAGGAAACACTATTCCACACTAAAACACCAGACACGTGACCGCTGTCTCTGAACAATTGTCCACATCCGGGGAACAGTATGACAACTTCTTGTGCAAGTCGTCAAAAGGTTGTTCAGGGCCTTCAAGCAGTTGCTAGAGTCAAATGGCTAAAGAGCCACAGAGGAGCTGTAGGTTTCTGGTGCCCTTCAAGCCCCCTGGGTCATCCTCTCCATCTCTCACACCCTCCTTGCTCTCACTGCCCACACCAGCCCCGCACACTGTCCTGCTGCCTCCCAGCCTCCACCTGCACACCCAACCCTGACTTGTGCCCACCCCTTACATACACGAAGCTCCAGGGTCTCCTCCCTTAGGACACTAGTGAGACTCTAGAGGAAAACTCTCACCATCTGACTCAAGTCATCTGCACACATAATTGAGAATGCCTTGCACAATTAACACACCAGGTGGATTTGCATTTTTTTAAAGGAGGCTTTTAATCCAAAAAATATTTCTAACCTAGAGAGTGGAATGGGGAAGCAGGATGCTTTTTAATCTTGGTTTTCACCCAGATCCAAGCATCCCGAACCCAAGTAAGCACTCATTGCCACAATGATCCCCACTCCTAAGCAGAAATGGATTTTTAGCTGTGCTTTGCTAGCACTAAAATTAACACATTGTAAGTAAAATTAATTTAAACTTGGCAAGGAAGAAAGGTCATGCTCTCTGCCTCTAATGAAAAGCACCTCTAGAATTCCACCCCAAGCTTTCAGAGAGCAGCATCAGCCAAAGAGGCCCACAAGTAATACGGTAGATACTCAGAGGAACTCTCTTAAAAGCTAGAGAAACTGTTACAGAAAGGCTTGAAATAGCAGTTTCCAAGCTTGTTTTCCTTTTTCATATGAATTATCACTAGAAAAACACCCAACTCCTGTGTCTTGTCCATATTTGGTGCTCAAAAAACGTGAATTCCCAGCCTCTACCTGTCACCCCTACTTTTCCTGGAAAGGAATGTTGGGATTAGGACCGTCAGCTTGCAGCTTTCTTGCTCCCAAGCCAGGGATCATAACACCTTCATTTGTGTTAATAGCCAAGTCCTTAATAAGAATCATAACAGTTGCATCTATTGAGGGATTTTTTTTTTAATCAGGCACTAGGCTACATCCTTTATATATTTTTATCTCATTTGATCTCTACAACAATCCTCCGAGGTAGGTATTTTCAGTTAGCATTACTGTTATTAGAGCTATTTTGTGAATTTTTTAAAAAACATCTGAACACTGAAGAAGTAACTTGTCTGAGGTTCCCACAGCCCAGGAACGATAAAATGATAGAATGGGGATTCAACGCAAAACGATCTGGCTCCAAAGTTGGGTTCTCATTCACCCACCATACTGTATGTTTGTTATTCTATGAGTTCAGATATTTTATGGTCCAGAAAAAAAAGGTGTCTGAATCATTATGATCTACTGACTCTCTAAAGAGACATCCAGAAAAAGAACAGAAGCATACCCGCGCCATTGCATTTAGAAATGCAAAGAAAGTACCACATATTTCATGGAATTTGGGGACTGGCTTTTGAGGAATAGAGACGCGTTTATCATTCGTCAACCAACTCATCCTCCCAAGAGGAAGGCTACTTTAATTCCCAGATGATCAAAGGGCCTCCTTAAAATGTAGAAAGCAGAGGTGGAGGTCTTACCAGTACGCGGAGCCGCACGAACCTTTCTCTGCATAAACGATGTCCTAAGGGAAGACAGTAGCGGGTGAGTGGAGGCCCACAGACAGGCGTATGGATGCAGAAAGCAGCCCCAAGTGGGAAGAGGCCAAGCTCCCTCTCACGTGGAATTCTGCTAGTGCGGTGAGCCGAAGAGACGCAGCCAAAAGGCAGAAAGAGACCAGTGACTAATGAACGGGGTCACTTTTCCCCAGTGCCTGCAAGGTCCTCCCTTTTGTGTCCACACCCTAACTGTCTAATCTGATTTCCTGCAATGTGTAAAACAAACTGTCTTCTCCTCTCCAGCGTCTCTTCAACTGGCCTAGTCATCTCCACATCAGTGTCACCTTTGTGTCTTCACCCCCAAAGTCCTCCCAGTCTGAAATCACCTTCCCCTTCTCCGTCTACCAACACTTCGCGTCCTTCCAATGCCCAGATCTTCCCCACAACTCCAGTTTGCCCCCAGACCCCATCCCTGAAGTTCATATAGCTCTTTAAGCCTGTGCCGCCCCGCTCATCACTGAATTCTCGTGTTGCCTTGCTTCCTATATTTTACTTCTTAGCCCGACTACTAGCTTACAATGTCCTTCGAAGTAGAGATTTTTAAGATAGTTCTCTTATATCCTCCACAGCACCAGCTAAGAACCAATAAGGGATCACCAACTACTTGTTGCCTGCTTGAATACGTTGGCAGCAATTTTCCTTTAGTAAAGCCCCTAAAACCGGTGATTTCCCAATCTTTGTTTAGCTACAATTGAGGCTAATGACTGGTATCTCATAGCACACCTCCAAATCAAACCACCTTGGAAAAAAAATTAATGCAATTTAAAAATACATGTTATACATCGTATAGTACTTTCGGGAAATGGACATGAGCATTGGCAATAGGTGAAAAACACAGGCTACGAATTCCAGATTGAAATCTACATCATTTAGACTTAGGTTCTGTTTCTTTTCTGAACTAGATAACTTTAAAATTCATATTTGCCCTACTTAGAGACTCTAGATTTTCTTCATCAAACCTTGGGTAATATTTAAACTACTCATAGAGGTGAGCTCAGTCACAGCCACAGTCATATTTATGCTCTAGGAGAATATCTGGAAAATCAAAAAGCCAACTATTGCAACTTTTAATGTTTCAAAAACTGTACGCATCTTGTTAGGACGCTGGTGAGGGGTGGTGAATATCAAAGCAACCCCCCCAACCCCCTATAAATTGGTTCTACACCTTGCACCAGGTGGAACAGTCATTACAATGTTTAACCTAGAGTAAAAGCTAAATAAACTTACAAGAATTCCTTTTGACACCAAAGAAATACTTTTAAAGAAGCAAAACCCTTACCTGTTGCAGAATGCCGAAGAAATTTCTTGACAGTAAAATGACTGACTCCGGAAATCAAATTTGTTCAGCAAAAGGAGGTGAAAACAAAAGCAAGAGCAAGCCTTTTCACTGTGGCTGATTTCCTCCCAGGATCAACCTTTCCCTCGTCCCCAAGAATGTTAACTGATTCACACTAGAAGAACCGAAAATGTAAGAACTGGGCTGGCAGGGAGTCCATCCCAAGATGGTTGGGTTTAATGTGCATGAGGCAGCAGGAGCAACCTGAATGTGACAAAAGAGATTAGCAAGTTCCTGTGCATAAGTCAATTTCCTGTAGCCGGCTTTTCCGCAGAGGGGGTTTCATTTGTGTGGGTTTAGGGGGGTGTGTGTGCACGTGCATTTCTCTCCATGAGAATGTGAAACTTCCCCAGATCAGAGGCAGAATAAGGCCTTTGCTGCGAGTTTAATTTATCCCCCACCCCACCCCGAGACCATATTTCTCTCCCCCTTAGCCCCATTTTCCTCCAGCAAATCCCTACATAAAACTGAAGTAAAGAAGACTGAAAAGTCCAGATGATTCCTCATGGAAGTAAAATTACAAAAAAAAAAAAAAAAAAAAAAAAAAAAAAAAAAAAAAAAAAAAAAAAAAAAAAAAAAAAAAAAAGGCCATGCCACTGACCAGTCTTGGTTCATTTGAGCTTAGGAAACAGCACCTTAGACCTTTCCCCACATCAGCTTGGGGAAAACAGGTGGGTTGTCTGCTTTCCTTTGCTTCATTAAAGACTATCAAATAATAACTTGCAAAGAACAGATGCAGCCTTAGTGAGAGTTCAAGCAGCCCCCGCCATGTGTTCGCCCCTGTATGGACTGGCACCTGGGCTTGGAAGGTACCTGATGAGTTGTTTTTTCAGACTCCTCAGAGTTTCATTATTTGCCTAAAAGCACAAGTTTACTTGCTTTGTCCTTCTGGGCAATCCAGGTGTAGGGACCATCTGCAACTACTTAGGTTATGGCTAAATGCCTGACCCAACAAATTGAACTTTCATGATGTGGTCACCACCCCTTGTGCCCCAAATCCCTGAATAATTGTAGATGCTACTGCTCACGATGATAGCTTGGTCAAAATGTCTGCCAGCACAAGGATAAGTCAATTCCATACAAGTCAACACACATTTACAGAGACCCTGCTACATGCAAGATACGGTGCTCAGTGCTGGGGTTGGGGTGGGAACATACACAGACTCAGGGTCCTGCCATGTGCCTGACGCTGTGCAGGGAAGAAAAGCACAAAGACGAAGGGAGACATATTCCCTGTCCTCACAGGACTCAAATCCCAGGGGAGTTAGAGGGAAACGTGCAGAAAACATTCAAATAAATGCAATCGGTCTGGGCGCACCGGCTCACGCCTGTAATCCCAACACTTTGGGAGGCCGAGGCGGGTGGATCACCTGAGGTTGGGAGTTCGAGACCAAGCTGACCCACATGGAGAAACCCAGTCTCTACTAAAAATATAAAATAGCTGGGCACGGCGGCACGGGGTGCCAGCTACTCAAGAGGCTGAGGCAGGAGAATCACTTGAACCTGGGAGGCGGAGGTTGCGAGGTTGCAATGAGCCAAGATCGAGCCATTGCACTTCAGCCTGGACATCAAGAGCAAAAGTCTGTCTCAAAAAAAAAATCATTCCAAATGCTGGGAACTATTACAGACAAACCAGAGAAGAAGCAGAGCGAGACAGCAGGATGATAACTTCATCCGAGAAGTGGTCAGCGGGGGCCTCTTTGAGAAGCTGACGTTTAAGCTGAGACCTAAAGCCTGGTCTCTCAGCCCTGGCTGGAAATTAGAATCGTCTGAGAAACTTAAAAAAAATATCAGTGCCCGACAGAAAAGACAAATAGCGCATGTTATCATTTACATGTGTGAGCTAAAACATTTGAACTCATGGAGACAGAGTGGAAAATAGGTAAGAGACTGGGAAGGGTGAGTGAGGGTAGGAAGGAAGATGAAGTGGGTTAAAGGGTAAAAACACACAGTAAGATAGCAGGAATAAATTCAATCTTTGATAGCGGAGGAGGATGACTATACTTTTAAAAACGTATCACCAGCCTGGGCAACATAGCAAAACCCTGTCTCTACTAAAAGTGAAAAGTATTAGCTGGGCGTGCTGGTACATACCTGTAGTCCCAGCTACTCAGGAGGCTGAGGTGGGAGGATCACACTTGAGCCCAGGAGTTCAAGTTTACAAATGAACAGTGAGTTATGATGGCGCCACTGCACTCCAGCCTAGGTGACAGAGCAATACACTGTCACTTAAAAAAAAAAAAATTGCTGTATTTATTGTCACATACAATTAACCAAAAAAAAAAAAAAGCGCTATGCTACAGTAATGAGCAGCTTAAATACCCTGACTTGATCCCTAGGCTTAGATTTGTCTTTTATTTTATCCGTGCATCAGTCCCACACTCAAAGATTCAAGTTTAATTGGGCTGCGTTGGGACTGGACATCGATATTATTTTAAACTCCTCGGATTATTCTAAAGTGCCGCTGCCACTTTAATGGATGAGAAGGAGGTAAGAACATTCCAAGCAGAGGCAAATAGTACATGCAAAGGCCCTGAGGTTGGAAAGAGCTTGGCATATTCAAAGAAGTGAAAGCAGATGACTGTGTCTGCAGCATAGTTGTAGAGGAAATCAATGGTACAAGAAGAGCAATTTTTTTGTTTTTTTAGATGGAGTTTCGCTCTTGTTGCTCAGGCTGGAATACAGTGGCACAATCTCAGCTCACCGAAACCTCCACCTCCCGGGTTCAAGCAATTCTCCTGCCTCAGCTTCCCAAGTAGCTGGGATTACAGGCATGCGCCACCACGCCTGGCTAATTTTGTACTTTTAGTAGAGATGGGGTTTCACCATATTGGCCAGGCTGGTCTCGAACTCGTGACTTTAGGTGATCCACCCACCTCAGCCTCCCAGAGTGCTGGGATTACAGGCATGAGTCACCTCGCCCAGCCAAGGTGAGCATTCTTATCGATAGACACACAATTACCAAGTTCATAAGATTTTCACATGAACACAAGTGTCACTTTGTTACTTCACAGTAACAACTCAATCTGCCAGCTGAGATCCTTGAGCCTTCTGAAGAGCACATTATCTTCCAGAAGATCCTCTGTGGGAGGCCAGGCACAGCGGTGGTTGCTCACACCTGTAATGGCGAGGAGGGAGCATTGCTTGAACCTAGGAGTTCGAGACTAGCCTGGGCAACATAGGGAGATTCCGTCTCTACAAAAATACAAAAATTAACTAAGCGACCATGCCTGTAGTCCCAGCTACTCAGGAGTCTGAGGCAGGAGGATTGCTTGAACCCATGAGGTTGAGGCTGCAGTGAGCTGTGATCCACCAGCACACTCCAGCTTGGGGACACGACAAGGTCCTGTCTCAAAAAAAGAAGGAAAGAAAGTAGAGAAAGAGAGAGAGAAAGACAGGGAGAGAGGGAGGGAGGGAGAAGGGGAGGGATGGGGGAGGGGAGACAGAGAAAGAGAGAGAGAGGGAGGGAGGGAGAGAAGAGAGAAAGAAGAGAGAGAAAATCCTCTGTGGAAAGCCAGATCCCCATCATGATGTCATCAGCTGAGCAGAACATAAGCTTGTGGATACTTTATTTACTTCTGGTTTTGTTCATCAAATGATTTAGAGCATCTTGCAAAACTACTTACGCCTTAGCAAAATGAAACAATTAAAAACAAGAAATCTGAAAATGAGGCCAAGAGAAGCGAAGACAAAAATTACACTAAAACCAGGGGTGAGGTTAACACAGAGAATGCATGCACGCTCTTCAGACACTGGCATGAGGCAGGAAATACCACCACATAGAAAACCCATTGCTTGCGGGAGAAACACGAACACACAGCTCAGAATCGCGAGATCTTCCTGGCTCCCAGTGCTGAGATTAAAGAGAAACTTTGCCCCTGGATTCCCATAGACAAGACAACACCGCCAAAGTGAAACATCACATTCAGACTAAATGCAGCCAGCCCCAAGTGGGTGAGGTGGTTCCTTACATTTTTCCTCCATGTATACTGACTGCATCTCACTGAAGAGTTCACTAAAATTAACTCTAGGGCGTACGGCAGGGAGCATGCAGCAGGAGATTAGCAGAGTGTGCTACTCCACCACATCGCTTTGACGTTCCAATTTTATCCAGAGATGAAAAAATGACTTCATGGGCCAGACGCAGCAGCTCATGCCTGTAATCCCCATACTTTGGGAGGTCAAGGTGAGTGGATTGCTTGAGCCCACGAGTCCAAGACCAGCCTGAGCAACATAGTGAGACCCAGTCTCTAAAATAATAAGAATAGGCCGAGTGCGGTGGCTCACGCCTGTAATCCTAAAACTTTGGGAGGCCGAGGAGGTTGGATCACTTGAGGTCAGGAGTTCGAGACCAGCCTCGCCAACATGGTGAAACTCCATCTCTACTAAAAATACAAAAATTAGCTGGGTGTGGTGCCACATGCCTGTAATCCCAGCTACTCGGGAGACTGAGGCAGGAGAATTGCTCGAACCTGGAAGACAGAGGTTGCAGTGAACTGAGATCACACCACTGCACTCCAGCCTGGGCAACAGAGTGAAACTCCAGCCTAAATAATAATAATATTAACAATAATAATAATAATATTAATAAGGAAAAATGACTTCAGCTATGTTTCAGAAAATTCAGGATAAAAAATTTGTCTCATCCAAGTTTCTAAAAGATTTAAGGAGGCAAAGAGTTCAAAATTGGTTGCCTCTCCAAAGTCATTCAGCAACCACTTTCTGACCAATAGTTGATTCTCCCATCTCACATCTCACAAGAGATCAAGTGGGTTGTTTTTTGTTTTTTTTTTTCAGTGTCTTTTAAGGGGACACTGTCTCCCCCTCAGAAAGCAGAGGAGTCAGACAAGGACAGCTGCCCGCATGGACAGACCCCCTCCACCTCCTCAGTAGAAGTGGAGATGAGGCTCTGCCCTTTGGGAAAGAAAGCAAGAAATGCCACCAGCAGGATTTATAACGAGCTCCAGGCCGCAGGCCTTGTACCCTTTTCTGCACCAACGTGCAGACGTACTCCAGGGTCAGGATGGACTGGGTGCATCCTCAGGCACAAGCAATCCCACCCCATCCTGGAAGAGGCTGGGAAGGGCATTGTCATGCCTCATGCCTGGGTGTGAGACCCCTGCCCCCTTCACCCCCTGGCTGGCCACCCTTCCGCTTCTGAGGAACTGGCTTTCTGTGCCTGGAATTGCCGGTTTTAGATGGTCTGGTATAGTCCAGCGTGGGGTGTCCTGCTCCGGAC